GAGGCTACACTGTACATGTATATTATTCATGTTAATATCAGAAAACATACAAGATTAGCTAATAATAGAATTACATTAACATCATAACAATACATAGCTAAACCTTCTCATACTTGTGCGTGTTGTTCAGAATGTGAATCACCACAAATAGACTACAGTAAATGGCGCCACAAGCTTCAGAAAACAGGATTCCTGTTAACGCCTATTATGATACGACAAGATACTTGTAAAGTACAAGCATTTAGTGTCTCGTTACCTTGTAAAGGAGAAGAGAGAAGGAGCTAGGCCAGCAGAGAGGTAGACATTGTTGTAGGGTCACGTGATTAATGAAAATCGTGGGCGTGGCTTAAAGTATTTAATTAATTTCAAATAGTTAGTTAACTAGCATGCTGCAGTGATTCCTTTGTGCATAATTTTATTATAAATCCATCAAAACAATAATAATAATAATAGTAACAAAGAATTGCCAGTTATATTTTGTCAATATTGCTGCTTTATAATGACAATAAATGATGATCCTATTTCAGTTCAGTCAGCACTTCTTTATCATCATCACGCACAAAGGACAGCTACATCGACCATTAGAAGTTCCTATTGTTCCATAAACAACTTTGAACTTTATTGCTTTATTGATTCCAGTGTAACACAATATCTAAATATTTTTTAATGTTAAGAATTGTAAATAAGGAAATTGTGACATGGATGTATTAATTATTAATTAATTAATATAGCAAGGATACAGCTGGTATTCTTCAAATACTAGCTTATTTTTAAAATGGCTGTTACTTGAAAAATTAAAGTCAAAATCGGCTCAAACTTGCTAAATAGCTCAAGTACATCAATATGTAATAGAAAATGTAATAAAAATTGGGGGTGATTTTCTAGCCATTTTTCAGAAAAAACCATGGGCTATAGTACAGGGATTTTTTCAGATTTTGGCTGATTTCTAAAATTGGTCGTAATTTGAAAAATTAAAGTTGGAATCAGCTCAAACTTTCTACACAGCATAAGTACATCAATATGTATCAGAAAATGTAATAAAAATTGAGGGTAATTTTTTAGCCATTTTTAAGAAAAAACCATGGGCTATAGTACAGGGAAATTTTCAGATTTTGGCCAATTTCTAAAAATGGTCGTAACTTGAAAAAGTAAAGTCGGAATCAGCTCAAATTTGCTACATAGCTTAAGTGCATCAATATATATCAGAAAATGTAATAAAATTTGGGGGTGATTTTTTAGCCATTTTTCGGAAAAAACCATGGGTTATAGTACAGGGTTTTTTCAAAAATTGATCCAATTTTAAAATAATCATAACTTAAAAAGCTTTAGTCGGAATTAGCTCAAACTTTCTACACAGCATAAGTACAATATGTGAAATAAGTGTTCATTATATAGAGGCTATACTTAGATGGGGAATGTAAATGAGGTTTGACCTGTAACCATAAGTACATCAGTACATGTAGTGTGGTCATGCATTCACAACAGCTGCATGGATATATGCATGTACATGTGCATATGTATTCAATGCAAAAGTAATGATGATTGTAAGTCTTAAGTACATCAGTTTTGTGATTATAGTAGGGAACCGCAATAAACTAACAGACCACCTGGGAGTTGGTGATGTCACCATGGAGACAGTGCATGTCACCTGGGACAGTCTGTGAATGAGAGATACCCAGTGTCTCTTGCGAGTCTAGACACACAACCACTTTGATCTAGGATTATACACAGCTGCTCTTTGTGAGACATCAATTGTACTTGCATCATACCTTTACATTTAATTCAACTATTGTACAATGCTATAAAGCATTGCCACACTACCTGTCCTTAATACAGAGGTGTCCTCATTTCAGAGGTACTTTTGTATAGGCTTGTACCAATTGGGACATTACAAAATGTCATTACAAAGAGGTCTTTATTATAAAATTGTCTTCATTATATAAAGGCCATTGTACACATATAGAACTTCACTTCTAATTGCTTCGTGCTTTGATTCTTAATTGCTCATGAGTGTATGAAAAGTCTTTGTTTATTGTCACATTAATTGGACTCACACGAGAGAAGAAGCCATTAGCATAAAGTGTGTTCATGTCCTCTTGTTTACGTTAGAGGCTAATTGCTACACCAGTACATTCAATATGGCTTCAGCCTCATTCAATGGACAATGGCTGCTTGCCAAGAGAGACATCGTACGTGTGTGCACTCTTCACTATCCATTGTTGATTGTTTTCGATCCAAATCCATCGACATTGTTGTTATTGTTACTATTATACAAAATTTGATAATGAAAATCACATATTATAACACACATGCAGTACATATTAGGACATGAATCTACTGTACTGTGTACTAGTACATATATATATGTACATGCTTTGAATTGCAGACTGAGTGACTTGGGGAATTTTAGCTACAGCATTTTATAGTTTGTAGTAGAAATGAGCTAACATTACTCCATGATCGATGGTCCAGCCAAAATGAATACACACATGATCTGGTACTTAGCCAACTATGAGAGAGAGAGAGAAAGAGAGAGAGAGGGAGAGAGAGAGAGAGAGAGAGAGAGGGAGAGAGAGAGAGAGAGAGAGAGGGAGAGAGAGAGGGGGAGGGAAGGTTAGTATAAATCAGATAATGTATTGGATATTAAACAACAGCTGCATGGGAAAGATCACTAGATCAACCTGATCGAACAAGACTTGTATAAA